GTAAACTGAATATTTTGGGGGTTTTTGACGTCAGCTCTGGCGTGTTTTCACTATTTGACATTTTGTGGACTAAATGATTGATCGAAAAATAATAAACTGCGGGGCATATACCCCCTTCTGAAAGGGGGGATGCCAGAAAATGGATGAATGGATAATGAATATATATATAATTAGTTGCACCTCTACTTGTCACAATTTGATATAAGACCAAAGATACAGTGGTCAGAGCAGGCAGCTGCTGCACTGTTCTGTTGCTAGAGGATGTTTTATTGTTTAAAATGTATAGTCTATTATCTCAGTATTGACTTAACAATGACTTATTGATGTGAAAATGCAACATGTACGTATCCCCTTTAAAAGTTGATGCTTGCACTGGATTGTGTCAGTATAAGTCACCTCAAGTGATGTCATTTAAGTCAGCGTCAGTTGGCGCTGAAGACTACAAGTGTGAAAATCCAAAAAGCGTTCGAACGAAGTGAGCTTACTCCTCATCTTGAGGCTAGCGCTCGAGACTACATTAGCATTGCCATTACTCCAATCGACCGAACTGTTAGTGGTCAGGTGCACTGTGGGTAATGTAGGCGCCTGCTTGTGAGAAGAAAGAAGAACGTGTGGAATAAAAACAGACGATATCTGTGGTTCTTCTGCATCATCGTTTTTCAACTGTCTGAGTAATGTTACAAGCGTGCAATGCAAAGTGTGTTGGGTACTCTTTTAAATGATAGTATATATGGTGGTGGAAGAATAACTGGTCTCCAGATACACAGGCTGACAGTTGATCACACTACCATTCTGTACCGTGAGGTGAATTTGCTTTTCTGTTAAGGTATGTTAACATAAGATTGTGGTAAACGAAGTAGAAAGTTAATGAACTTGAATGCACGTCTCCCATCAGCTCCTGCTCCCGGCCATCAGAAGATAGAGGTCACTCCAGCTGTTGCCGTGGGAGACCCAGGTAAAGGAGGAAGGGCCAGTGAGACGGTCACGCCCACCCTGACCGCACAAGTGGGCGGGGCTTGTAGCATAGTCCACGTCCTAGAGTGGAAGGAGGGGATGGCCATCCTGCCGAGCAGCAACCTCAAGGTGAAGTGATGTTTCTGGCTTCAGCACGTGTTATGAAGACTTTAATATTTAGTTCCCCCGGGTGTAGCAGCCAAACTATCTATCCTCCCTCTCAGCATTTAGAAAGGATTTCTAGCTATTTTTCATTTGCTTGTTTTCTCCTTAAAGAGCTTTATAGATCGTCCTGGTAATAAGCCACATCACTGGAAATGTCTGTTCACGAGATCAACTGCAGAAAGACAACAAGGTGCACATCAGTCAGATGTCAAACATCCACTGAAAAACACATTACGTCATCATTGATTAGTTCTGATAGGATTCGTGGAGCAATTGATGAGGGGATTAACAGAAAATGAATAATCAGTAAATACATTAAATCTTTTATAAAGTAAAAACTACAAATATTAATTATTAAAGTCAAATGTGAAGTTTTTCTCATATTTTGGTAAATTTAATTATTTTCGAAAATATATCGACAAATGCAATGTTGACCATTTGTCACAGCCTTTGACATTTTTATAGACTTAACAATGAATCCACTCATTAAACAATAATCTATGAATAAAATAAAATACTGTATCATATTCTGAGATTACTGTATTTGGCTCAATACACAAATTTAGACGTAGTTAATGGCTACATTAAATAGTGTCATTGTATGTACAGTATGTACCAGGTACTCATGATTTAATGTTCCTGTTAACCGAACTTGACTGGATGATAAATAATGATTGACCAACTAAACAATGCAATATACCCATTACATTACATCTCGAAATGAATGTAGGTAAGGACATTTTGTTCTTGTCTATCTCAACTGACCACTGTCATGTAAACAGTGTAAACAATTAGAGCTTTATTGCTGGTTAGTGATAATCCAGTCCCAGTGCACTAACTGGATGCACTTTTAACTCACGTGTAAAAGCACCCAAGACTCTCAGATATAATCTGATCACACACCTGTTCCCTTTTAAGTTGTTCAGGAAAGCATTTTGCCACATTAACAATGAAAAGACCTGAAACTGCTGGAGCTCACCCAGTATAAAGGAGGACAGGGTAACACAGCCAAACTTCTAGATAAACAAAATGTGATGCACGCTAATCAGAATAATATCTCACTAAATCCAGACTCCAGACTTCTCAAACGGAAGAAACTAGGAACATGGAAACAACAGGCAGCATAACATATTTTGCAATAGTCCAATAAATGCAGGAGAAAAGGGGTTGAATCGACGTGGTGAAACATCAAGACACATTTTGACAGATGGATCCACTGATGCGTGTGTTTGTGTGTCGTAGTTCTGTGTGAGTGACGTAGGAACGCTGAGCACACTGATCACCCCAGGGACCACCAGCAGCACCACTGAACCAACAGCCGGGACTTCTGGGAGATCCGCTGACGCGGAAAGTGCTCCGGCAGACAAGCCAGGTAGAGTCATGGTTACATAAGGCTAGTAACGTCAGGGACTAAACACAAAATACTGCAGTTTTTAATTTTCACTGAAAACATTTCAGAACTAGTAGCTGGCAGTTTTAACGCCTTTAATGAAACAGGCTTTGGTTTCAGATGTACCACGTGTACATCTCCTGTATTATAGCACATATTTGATTAGTACAGCCTTTTCATGGAAGGAATAAAACATCTGAGTCTGTTTGCTGGTGTTGCAGGTGTCATGCTATTTAAGGACTGTTTCTTTATATGGCTTCACTGTTATTAGAAGTATTTCACAGCATGCCCTTTCCAGTGATCATCACTTGTGTGTGTATGTGTGTGTTAAGCAGCAATGAGCAATAATTACAGCTGCAGCAGAGCCCCTCTTAACAAGTGAAGAGTGCAGCTGCAGAAATATCAAGCAGGCATCACTCAGATGTGTAGAAAAATCCAAATCCAGACAATAAATGAATGAAAATAATCAATAAGTAGTCCACTACTTATTGATTATTGATTAATAGTCAAAAATAATAATAGTAACCAGAAATACCGTTATAATGCTGTAACAGCAATAAAAATCAATGAAAGTCAAAGGAGAACAGCAGAGCTTTTTATTTAGATTTTAAATTTAAATCTGTATCGGCTTTCTATTAATAACTTCTTCTGTCAGATGTGTTGACTCCTGTCGTCTCCGTGAGAGGTGCAGCCGTGGAGCCAGAGAGGTTTGTGCCGGTCAAACCTGAAGCCCAGGTTGGACCGGGACAACAGAACCACGACCCCAGAGCTCAGAGGACCTACACAGAGGCGCTACGCAGAGAGCCCATCACTGACAAGTACGTTGGTAACAGCTGCTTCTCCTTTGTACATGTATGGAAACTTTTTTTTAAATATATCTCAGTGAATAAATCACTCATGTTTCAATGCTCACTTGTATGTTCTGGCACACATGCTGTTTACAAGGCTATTTATTTGGTTGATGGTTGTATTTTTCTTGCTTCCATGGGTCATTTCCTCTTTAAATGTGCCTTTTCAAAGTATTGATACTAGTTGCTGCTAGTGCCAGATGAATGAGTGTAGTCCAGTGTTGATTTCAAGGGGAATCTGACCCGTTGGCAGGCATTAAGAATAACTATATAGAAATAGCCTGTTGTTTGTTTATGTAGGTCATATAGAGGCGTCAGTATTAAAATCTGTTTGAATGTAATACAGAAAGAAAAAAAAACACTGAAACATTAAAGTATGAGGCAGAAATGATGTGTTTCTGATGTGTTGAGACTTGAAGAACACTGTATCTGTCCCCTCCGCACCTCAGGAGGAGTGTCGGGGTAGAGAAGGTGCCAGCAGGTGGGAGGGTCTCCTCCCTTAACCCCGATCACCTGAAACCCATGAGGAAGAGGAAGAGGAAGGAATACCTGAGTCCCTCTGAGGAAGACTCTGACATCGAAGGCACGGTGGGAGAGCATTGTTATTTCCATTTAACATCCAGGGATAAAGAGATGTTCTCATATCTGATGAGTTTAGCAAGATAAGCATGAAAATGGCTGAAAGTATTTTAAGTGACATGGTTGATGAAGGTCAAATAGTCCAAATAATACAAAGATATTACATGTTTTTCTTTAGGATGAGAAAATGGATGATTCTAAAACCGACATCAGACACATCAGAGGAGGTTGGACTAATCATTTTTTAACATTTGTTAACTTTTCGTTGGCCTCTTATATCACCTTTCATCCTTTTTCTGCACTTCTTTGCACATTTTTTTTGCTGTCCAGTACATCTGTTTTCCTCCCTTCCTGCTCTCCCCTTACATACAGAGGGAAACACCTTACAATGTCAAGTCATAATAACATATCTCTGACAATATAAATGCACTTCCATACAACGACACCACAAGTTACGACCTGAAAATGACCCCCTCTCTCTCCCCCCTTTCCACCTCCCTTTCACTATCCATTAAAAGGCCATAAAAAAGCCCCAAAAATGACCAAGTTGAATCAACGTCTCTCTGACACTATCAATAAATTGTGGGTTGTATTTATTGTAGTGCTGCAGCACTGAATTGTGTTATAGCCTCAAGTGATCCTGTTATTTCATCCAGTCTCTGTACGTCCTTAACCTGTGGTCTGTCCATCCTTTAAGTACTTCACTTCCTTTTTTTCAATACTGTTCCCTGTAGACAGGGCAGGTAGATAAAATGTTGTAGTGGTACCAGAGATTAAGTACTATTTCACTTTAAGATGAACATTTTCACTAAATATTTGTGTGTAAAATTACAGGATCAGAGATCTTCAAACATCAGCTGCTCAGAGAATCTGTCCCCCTCCTCCTTCCTGACTCATTTTCTGTCTTCTGTTTATTAAATGCCTTTCCTGTAAATGTTTCCTCCAGTTTCAGTCTATTTTCTGGTAATATGCTTTTGTAATGCTCATTGCATAAATTAATCAACCAAGTGCTTCATTTATATTTTTGATGAAGCTGGCGACAGTAAGACAGAGCAGTGGACGTGGGCTCAGTATCTGGAGGAGAGCAAAGCTGTTGCTGCACCCAACAAGCTTTTCCAAGAGGTATGTTTGAGTTTAATATTCAGACTGTAGTTTCAGCCTGAGCTAGTGCCACGTACACACGGGTTCACCCAGTATACCCAATAGTGTTGTTTTGTATTACTTCTCTTACTACCACTGCAGCTCTGCCAACAGCAAAGGGGCCAATTCTATCGCCCCACTGCAGCATTGTCAAGAGAGGAAATGAGAAATGTAAATTTACCTGCGTGTAAGTGATGTATGCAGCCAAAGGCAGACATTAATATGTTTGATTCTGTTATAAAGTATGATGCATTAACATTCAAATTAAAAACACAATAAGATCTCTAATGATATAAACATTTTTTCAACACAAGCTTTGTCTTGAAGAGAATCAAATTATAAGTATATGATAAAAACACTGTAATCCCCCACTAGTTCATCTTTTCTGTTTTTCGTTCAGATTGAGTTTTCAAACAAGGATCACATCATTTTATTTCCACCTCTGTGGTCTGTATAGAAATATCTGCTCTTTTATCCCATGTGTCCAGTCCCAGAGAGTGCCTACAGTGAAGAACGGCTTTAAGCAGGGGATGAAGCTGGAAGGCATCGATCCACAGCATCCGTCCATGTACTTCGTCCTCACTGTGGCCGAGGTGAGTCAGACGTCCATTAATGCGGTCGATGGATCTTAATGGCCAGGCTAATTATTTAGGATTAAAGATCACTGTTCACTCACTGCTTTGCATGCAGGAGGAGCTCTCCAGCCTGCTTTTATTTCTCTAATGTATCATGTCATCATCCAGGTCTGTGGTTACCGGCTTCGGCTCCATTTCGACGGCTACTCTGACTGCCACGACTTCTGGGTGAATGCCAACTCACCTGACATCCACCCCGCAGGCTGGTGTGAGAGCACAGGACACAAACTGCACACTCCCAAAGGTCAGAGGTGACAACACTCTGGACACCGTGAAAGACCAAAGAGCAAATACAGTCTAAATAGAATAAAATAGCATGGACCTTCACTTCTGCTTAATCTTACCTTTCACAGGATATCTGCAGGACTAGTTCAGCAGTTTGGAAAACAAACTCATTCACTTTCTTCCTGATGGTTACATGAGAAGATCGATACCACTCTCATGTCTGTTAAGTAAATATTAAGCTGGAGCCAGCAGCCACCTAGCTTAGCTTAGCATTATGACTGGAAACCATTAAGCCTCTAAAACCACATTATGCCTTGTTTGTTTAATTTATACAAAAAACCAAAGCATAAAAAGCTCCACATCGTTTCACTGCGGGTTATGTGCAGAACTATTTCTTGGACGGGCGCAGTAACATTGTGGAATCCCCACTGTTGCCCGGCAACCTCACGATAATGTCAATACAACCAGTTTTTGAACATATTGAACAAATGACATACAAAATGTTAATAAATGAGTTTTAGAGGTGCTGGTCGGTGGGTTTCGTGACCTGAGCAAGGCTAGCCGTTTCCAGTCTTATGCTAAGCTAAGCTAACAGCCCCTTGCTATAGCTTAGATTTCTTTACACATATGATAGTGGTATCAGTCTTCTTGTCTAACTCTGGGCAAGAAAGGGAATAAGCTTTTCCCAAAATGTGAAACTATTCCTTTAAATATTATATTTAAATGTTGTTCTCCCAAAACATGAATCCTTTAATGTTCTCTCTGTATTTCTGTCATCCCTACAGGCTGTAAAGAGGAGGAGTTTACCTGGACCAACTACCTGAAAATGACTAAAGCACAAGTGGCTTCCAAAGAACTGTTTGCCAGTCCTGGGAGGGTAACTGCCACTATATAATATACGGTAGTTGTATTATCTACAAGCATGAATGGATGAGGTGAATGATTTAGGGTTAGGAAAACTCCAACTCCAATGAGAAGAAGTTATTTAAAAACTGTTTCTTTTAAACAATTTGCAACCTCTGTCTCTCGCAGAAAACACGTTGACTTTAAATAGATAACAATAGTAGAATACCCAAATGAAAAATGTGACGGTATTCAAGTATTTATAGCTGCTACCTGCGTTGCTTTGTCAAAGTCAGGCCTGGGGTCCTGTCTGACACTTTAATGTTAATACTGAGAAGACATAGTAAGGATTTATAGGTGTTTGTTTTGATGTTGACTTCCTTCTGCACACTAATGCTTGCAGTGCTCAAGCTTCAATATATCAAACTGCAGCAGTCTTTCACCATTTTAGTGATTAGTGATTTCATAAACTCAATTACAAGCACTCAAACAGCACAATTTACTTTTATTTAGTTTTTATGTATAACTTTCACATCATTTATCACCTAGTCCACAGCTCTGTCTGTCTCTACTTTATAATGTGCACCTGTCATGTAATTTCTAATATTTCTGCTTTCTGTTTAGATCGATGTGAAGTGTGGTTTTGAGATAGGAATGAAGCTGGAGGCCGTCGACCGTATGAACCCCTCCCTCATCTGTGTAGCAACCGTCACTGATGTGGTGGACGACCGCTTCCTGGTTCATTTTGATAACTGGGATGACACATACGACTACTGGTGAGCCTCAGAAACATCGGGGATGAGTGGGCTTTGGGAAATAATCTAGAATAAATATGAACAGCCGTGGGGAAACAACGCTTTTGATATTCTAAGAACTTGCCAAAGAAACATGAGAATTATGGATCTCTTGTAATATTTTCTGTCATCAAGAGAAACGTAAACAGCATTAGGTTTAGTTAAGGCAGCTCACTAATGCCTGTTAGAGTTTACTAAAAAGTTCTGTATCCTGCTGCCTGAAATATTTAGTCTTGGTTGAATGTAAAGCTGTACACACCTTTGGTCGTCTCACACAGGTGAGTTAGACCTCCTCTCAGGGTTGTGTGAGTGTCCATAGACTGTTTGACATCCCATCTGTATGTTTATAATTGAAGTTTATTTATTTATTTGAAAGGGACAATGCACATTAGAGTCCACTATGTAAATGTGCCAGATTTTACAGGCTCATTTCTAATCTGCAGTCCCTGGCAGGTTGATGGCATATCAGAAACATACAAAAGCACATAAGCAAAATTCTGTATAGTGATTCACGCATTGCTAGTTTCTAATCTAGTTATTTTTACATTTGTATAAAATATTTTTTATTAAAAAAATCTGATCTAATCTACTGAATAACTGACAACACCTGTGTGACTGTGCTGGGCCTTTAATAGTGCTTTCACACCTCATCTGTTTGGTTAAATTAAAACCAGCTCTAGTGCATATTATCACCATATAAAGTTTCTGTAATGAATACTTACACATTCAGTACAGAGGGAAACAATTTAGGTGTTAATAGCTGTGTTTGTATTATTAAATGTAAGTTTAGTATTTACTCTCGTTTTAGCTCTGATTTGGTCTCAACCAACTCCTCTAAGTAAAATATCGGACTCTTTCACTATTAGATGCTCATCTTTCTTCATTTGTTGCTAACTGTGTCTGTCGTATACAACTGTTTCTTTTATCAGTGTGTTGAGGCTATCACAGTTGAGCTGTACAATTTGACGGTCAAACACGACGGTCAAAGTAGATCTTTTTTGCACAGACTCATGACCAACTCGTTTGTTTTCTCTCATTTTTTTCTGTCTCTACCAATTTTGTCGTAAACTCTCAGAAATGTCTATTTTCACTCAGTGCTGGACGTTGTTGTTGTTTGTTGAACTATGCAGGTGTGATTCCAGCAGTCCGTACATTCACCCTATTGGTTGGTGCCAGGAGAGGAACCTTCCTCTAACGCCACCCCAAGGTGACCAGTGTGTTCCCTGTTAATCATTAATTTAATCATAGTTCATAGTCATAGCATGGGGCATTAACTTTAAAAACAACCAAATTATTCCCCTTTGCTCCTTACAGGGCAATATATACAGAACACTATAAATATACTGTACATGTAAATGAGGAAATACACATCTTATGCTTAATAATCACACAGATTAGCTGATATTAGACATATAAGAGGAACATTGGGCAACCGGTGTGGGACCAAAGCAGAAATGTGCAAGGTGGCATGTAGGGGATGAATGTTTCTGTTTGTATTCACTGACTGATGTGAGTTTATTTTTGGCTGCACCAGATTACCCAGACCAGGGCCGGTTCTCCTGGTCTCTCTACCTGGAGGAGACCGGTGCCAAGGCGGTGGCCGCTGACGCCTTTAAAGTGGTGAGAACAAAGAATAAATGTAGTATTTTGGATTCAACTCACAGTATGATAATGAGGAAAAGATTACACTCAGGCCTCTAGTTTAACTGTAGTGTGGTTCTGTCGTATGGGCTGGCAGGAAATAGCAGCGACGGTGTAGACGGAGCCGGAGTTAAAAGGAGAGTAATTAAAAATAATGAGATGTGTGGTTTGTTACAGTCCCAGTTATATCAGTTACTTACACTATATCATGAATGTTATCGCAGCTGATGGATCTGTAAGAGTGTATTACGACCTGTTTATAAGCTGTTTATCCATCACAGTGTGTATTTACTGTATGTGCATACTGTAGAGTTTACATTTTACTATTACTCACCTGTCTACCACAGTATTATATTTTATTAAATTATATTATAGCTGCTGCACTATTTTATGTCTTAGATTCTAATTGGATTTTGTTCCACTTTCATGATTTTTCTCTATAAGCTACGTATTTTTTTATATTTTCCACCGTTGGAGGGAGGCTGAGGTCTTACAATTTTATTGCTGTTCTCTACTCAAGTAAAACATAGCAATTAAATACTAGAAAGGGCCAACAGGTTTGCTGGAAAACATGTAAAGTATGTTTGACATGTTTGGTTTTTAAGTAATCATCCTCTTGTCTCCAGCGTGCGGCCCACAGCTTCCAGCCTCAGATGAAACTGGAGGCCGTGGACAAGAGAAGTCCTGGTCTGATCAGAGTGGCTACAGTGGAGGAGGTCGACACTCATCGCATTAAGGTAATACTGTGTGTGTGTGTGTGTGTGTGTGTGTGTGGTGTCAGCTTGTATTCCTGAGGATTTAAGTACTAAACATCCGAGGTTATGAAGGTTATGATCTTGTATGTGTGTGATATTTTAAATGTTTCTCAGGCTCCCTCAAGTCCATTACAGTGTGTGTTAGTAAGTGTTAGTTGGGGCTGTGGACTAATGGGTTTTATGTGCCCGCTGCAGTAAGAGCTTACATGTACTGATATCATAAAAACGTACATCTTTATAACCGTCCCCGGACCCATTATACAAGTTGAGCTGTGGGTGTGCATGTACAGTATTTTCTTATGTGTTATTGCTCCATCTTTATTCCTCCTTCAGGTCCATTATGACGGCTGGAGTCATGTCTATGATGAGTGGATGGACTCAGATCACCCTGACATCCACCCAGCAGGCTGGTGTGAGGCGACCGGTCACCCACTCAAAGTTCCCCCACGGGACACCAAAACACAGCAGCCACACGGTAGCAACGGCGTCACTTGATCAAACCTTTCTTCAAAATTCATATCAAATGTATTCTTGATAGCTAACATTAAACTGTAGCAAAATTAATATTTTCTGCTCTGAGCTAAATGTACCCCTGCAAGGCTCCAGAGTGCCATGTAAATGAAAATTAAACTGGGAAATAGAGCAATTGCAATTGGTCAATTAAAATGCTCATTTAAATAAGAACGTTCTGTGAAAACATTGATTTATTTCCCAGTTGAAATTACACATTTACTCTGTTGGTACTGAGCTTCTTATAGATTCTGGATTGGTTTATCAACTTTTTTACATGATTTATTAATTACTATTTTTATTGCCAGTTTCTCTGAGTTCCATGTATGTTGCTGATATACAGCGATCAGCCACAACATTATGACCACCTGGTGGTCGGTGTATATGTGTTGTTATCAGTATATATTGCTGTAAATTGGTATTTTTCACTTAAGATATTTTGACAAGTCACAGCAGGAAAAGCACACGTGTAAATAATGAAATTAACGATGGCTGAATTCCCTTTAGCTGCTTAGGTGTTCATCTGTGTTTGAATGTACGTAGGTGTGAGGGAACCTCCTGCTACAGGCCAGTCCACCTACCCCTCCTCTGTTCCATGTAAACCCATCAGCCACCCCAGAGCCAACAAGTACAGCTTCCACAACAGGTCAGCACTGAACTCATCAGGTCACTTAATAAAGGCGTTACACACCAGGACAAACATTCAAAATACACATCAATAGCTGGGGCCGTTTTTTAAAATGACTCGCTCTTCTGAAAATGTACTGTGGGGCTCTGTCTTTGAAACAGGAAGTGTCCGACTCCTGGTTGTGATGGTTCAGGCCACGTGACGGGTCGTTTCACTGCACATCACTGCATATCTGGCTGCCCATTGGCTGAGCGTAACCAGGGCAGGCTGAAGGCCGAACTGTCAGATTCAGAGTGCAAGAGGAACATCTTCTTTGGCCAGAGGACCAAAAAGACCCATTACCGCGGGAGGTAAAAATTTGTGTGTGTGTGTATGTGTGTCTGTATGTGCGCAAATTTTTGCTTTTGTCTCAAATCAAGCTTTTCCTCTGTTTTTAGGATTGGCCGTCCTCCCAAATACAGGAAGAACCAACAGAGAGACTACCAGAGTGAGTTATACCCACTATAGATATTTATTACTTGGCAGCTTTAAGGGTGTCAGCCTGTCAAACCTGTAGCTTTATCTTGCTTTATGTATTTCACTGGAAAGCTTTCATGTCACCTGCAGGTGTGAGTGTTGACTAATATCTGTCCAGAGATGTAACACAGTCTGGCAACAACTCGTTTTTGAAAAATGTTGAAAGTTTTGGCATGAAAATGTTCAGATTAGAAAACTGTTAAATCAACAACTGTTGAATGTCTGTGTGTGTGTGTGTCCTCAGACATGTCCTCAGAGGGAGTGTATCCGTCACTGTTCATGTCAGCACTGAGCAGTCAGTCAGACAGGACTCTGTCTCTGTGCTGGGAGCAGCACTGTAAGCTGCTGCCCGGGGTTCAAGGCATTCACGCCAGCCAGGTGGCAGCATGGAGCGTCGAAGAGGTGAGCAAAGCTTACCGCTTACCTCCACAGTCATTTATTTTCTTTCTCTGATTTATCTATCTCTTATCTTATTACTTTTATGGGATGTGTTTGTGGTGCAGGTCTTCAGGTTTGTCCAGAATCTAATCGGCTGCGAAGAACAAGCTCGTGTCTTCAAAGACGAGGTGAGACCACGTGTATGTGAATAAAATATTAGGTTCATTCCCTCATTTGTTACACATTTTCAAATGTAAACAGTCCTTTGCAGTCCCACATAGCTAAATTGTTCCGGCCTATACACTCAGCCCAAATACAGCAATGAGTTACAGTCCACATGTGGACCAGATCTGGTAGCCACGGATGGCCCATGATGTCACTCTATCAACTGTATGACCATAGCCGGCTTTATTCTGGCCCTACGTTGGACAAGACAACTCAGATTTATCCTGTGACCCTTTGGAAGGGCATGGCCCAAGGTTGGGAAACACTGGACTAAATTACCTAATTGGATGTGAAATAGTTCAAATTAGCTCCATCTCGACCAGCTACAACAATAAAATGCTACACTGACAGGCATTGGCAGTGACAGCACTCAAAATTAAGGATTTCCCGGGACACAAAGATACAGTGTCTGGGACAGTAGAGAAATCGATCATTACAAATGAATTATGTTTATATATCATGGAATATCATTTTAATTGTTAGGTGGTCTAATTTTAAAAATGTGAGCCAAGTGCTGCCAACTTGGTGACTTTGACTAGCGACAAATTTAGCGACATATTCAGACAATCATAAAAAAGGTGAGATATATTTTCAAATATTCTATTTTAATTGATTATATTATCAGTAATCCCAGTCTACAGCTCATCTGCCAACAGTGCTGGGGTCTCTCCCTCTCCTCTCACGCCATGTGCAGGCAGTCAGTGTGGCCTGTGGGTCACGTTTGACCTTCTCTCTCTCTCCAGATATCCGGATTAGGCTGTTCCTTAGCTTATACGTAAATACTTTGTTTGAGCTTGTAAATATTGAAATAGTTTGTTTGACTACAAATATACAATGTTCCTGTAGTGAGTTTGTGATTATTGAATAATAATGTTAAGAGTGTGTGGATTACATCCCGCGCCGGCGCGAGGAGGACGCTTATCTAGTAGCTCCGTACGTGTTGTGTTGTTTTTAGTACTTTAAGTGTGTTTTTTTAAACATTTAACTCACCCTCTGCACAACACCTTCACCAGGCAGAGGAGTGTGTTCAGTGGCAGACTGCTGTCCCAGTCCAGCTCCACCAACAGACTCCTATCCTATGCTATCTATCTATCTATTCTCATCCTATCTATCTAATCTATCCTATCTATCTATCTATCTATTTCTATCTATCTATCTATCTATCATTATCTATCTACTAGAAAATTTCATTGCCGTATACCTGTCAGAAAAAACAGGTTTGCATTTGCACCTGCAGTTTGTATTGATACATTTATTAATGAAACAGGAGATAAATAAGAAATAGTAACAGCAGTAAGTAACCAAATGACTAAAACAAATAGTAATAACCTAATTGTGGCCCAAACACCTAGAGTGTTTTCCATTACAGATATAAGTGCAGGGAACAACTAGCAGAAATTCAGTGTGAGTTACTGAAACAAAGTTATTCAACTATATTCATTATATTCAGTTTGGAACAATTGTTGTTTAGTCAGGGATAGTTGTGGGACAACAGTTAACTTTCAGCCCTATGCATTGATGCAGCAGTATTTATAATCTAATAATGTCATATTTAATAATTTATTGTTTATAGAGGCCATTTTTCTGCAGAATGGGGACTTAAGCTTTCAGTACTTTAAGTACGTTCTGCTGATAATACTGTGTAGATTTGTCCGTTGCTGTTTGTAACCATTCGAAGTTAGGAAAATCCTGCATCGTATGACTTCAAGTATCATTTTAATGGAGTATTTTTATTTTGTTGTATTGGTACTTTTAGGATCTGAATACTTGTTCCACCACTGTAAGAAGTTCAGTTAACATTAAACTGTACCTACTATAGTGTTAGAAATGTCCATCCAGTCAAATGAACACCTCTGACCATCTAATGAATAATAAACTAACATGATCTTCGGTATTATCTGCAGGGCTGTTATATTTTATTATCATGTATTTCTGTTATTTGGTCCACCCCCCATGAGTACGTATGGCAGATAAAACAAACCTTTTCTTCACCTTTCACCTTCAAAGCCAGTACATTACCACCGTTGTGTCTGCGTCTTCCCCAGATGATTGACGGGGAGGCCTTCCTGCTGCTGACTCAGACCGACATTGTGAAGATCATGAGCATCAAGCTAGGCCCCGCCCTCAAGATTTCCAACGCCATTCTCATGTTCAAGAGCACAGACGAGGGACTCAAGTGATCCCGCCGTCACTCACTGGAGGGCCGGGGGACTGGTCCACCGATCATCATGTGCCAAATTCATTTTGTTGCAGGGAAAAGACCCTGACCCCTTTTTCATGTGTTTGGTGTCCTGTACCCATCAGAGAGAGGGAGGGGGGAGGGGGGAGGTGAGGTCCTATCAGGGTTAAAGGGGAAATAAAGAAGAGGCTGGAAGAAGAAAGAGAGTTAGAAAATACAGATATTTTTGTGTAAAATAATGGAGGAATGTCATTACAATGGCGGGCAAATTGGTGTGGAGGGTGGATAGGAGTACAGCACAGGTTTTTAGAGTTTGGTGGTTTTCACAACAGTTACACCTCGTCTGCCATTCTGTGCTATGTTGGGCTAAAACTTTGTGTGGAAAAGTGGAACATTTTTGCAAAGAGGTATCTAGGGTCATCTGAAGTGTTAACGGTCCTGTATCAACAGAAACATCCTGCTGCTGCTCGCAGCAATAATACAGGAGATACTTGTACTATTTGTACTTTTACTTCCTGAATGTGAATCATCCTTGTTGAGGCAAGCCTTTAACACAGGTTAGTTGCAACTGTACCCACCACCTTGCAGAGGTCCACTCGACATACGTTTCGGGACATATGTTTACACGTGACCAAATTTTTAGGAGTACAGTACCGACATCAGTCCAAAAGCCCCTGACCTGGCAGGCAAAATCAACACTCGATACTAGATGTACTAATAGAAATTCAGGAAGGGGAGGACTGAGGGCAGGGGGGGGAAACATAGCCAAAAAGAAGTTAAATGCAGTAGACGAGGCTCCTACAAGCCTCACGTTTTGTGCAATAAAACAGTTGAGACAGAAGTACTGTACTCGGTAACACTTAACATTACAGCTTCTTTCTGACTGATTCTTATGTGTTCTCATTATGTTACACTGTAACATAATAAAAATGAAAATTAAATAAATAAGCTGTTTTGTTCAGGCCATTGGAAAAAAGGTTCAGGTTTGTGAGAGAAAGCCTTTCCTCAGTTCTACGATTATTCTTAAATATTAGTTGTTTGAGTTTACTGCCTCTCCACGCTGTGCTGCCGTTAATGTGAAAAATCAAGTGATGCAGGAGCTGTAATTTAAACTGTTATCCTCGTATATAGAATCTGAACAACACAGTGTTTTGAGTTTTTTATATCTATATGCAGAAGATCTTAAATGATTATTTTTGCAATTCTTAATAGATGAGACAGTTTGCATTGGCGTTTTAGCACAACTGTGAAACCTAAAGGGACTTACACAATGATGTTCCCACACTCGGTCACTAGAGAGTGCAAAAATCCACATTTTTAGCACTATAAACTTGGATTTAGGATCTAATCAATGGAGCTCTCTGCAGTTTACATGTGATGGAAACTGTGTTCTTTGAAATGTTTACATTTTATGTCAGGATTGGTTAAAACACACTGTATGGATTTGATATTGTGAGACGAGTCATTTCACTGGACTGTTTAAGGGCTCTTGGTATTTTACTTCTTTGTGTGTCTCTCTGGTGGGATTTGTGTGTATGTGTGTATGTGTGTGTGTGTTGTTGTGTGTGTGTGGTGTGTGTGTGTGTGTCAAGATAATCTTGGGTCACAAATGTCATTCAATCCATTAATAAACGTCCAAAGCTGTCTTGTCTGATTAAAGCCACTGCCTCTTGTCTTATCTGAGAGATCACACACACTGCATTTCCTGTGCTTGTGCAGGTGTGCTGTGTGTGTGTTGTAATATTGACTATAAACTTACTTTGCTTAGCATCATATCCCCGTATTGGGCATATTGTCGTCAACACTTGGCTGTGGTGGTGAAAACTCCTCTCACGCCCTTTCTGCTTTTGCTTCTTATCTTCTTGTTCCACTGTAGAGGCCAGAAAAACAGGCGTTGCTGATAACCTGCTGCTGCAGCCAGACAACAAAATGAAAGGGCTCTGTTGGGTGGTAAATGTTTCATATGAGTAGGAACAGCAGGTGTGCAGAGCTTATTTTTTATCCCTTAAAAAGGAGGATGCAAAGGAGACTGGAGACACTCTTTCTCTGTTGCTTCCAAAATAAAAGTATGCTTACTTGCAGGAGTGGAAAATGCTATAATGTTTTTAAAGTGCCCATCCACTCAGATATGTGATTTGCTTATTGGTGCTTTATCTTTTTTTTATTTTTATTACTTATTAAGGTAGGTCACAGGTCATATAAATAGGTTGTTTATATGTTATGTCAAATAATAGGACTAATTTCTTTCTTTCTGAGAGTTAATTGGGAAGATGGATAGTACTCTCATGATGCCTTAACAACAAAGCTTACCACAGCTAGCCTGGGTCAGTCTGAAGTTCAAAAACACAGTTATTAACACTAAAGTTCATTAACATATTGCATCTCGTTTGGTTAACATGTACACATCACAATTTGTGTTTCGTTGGTTTCATACTTCTCCAGGAAAGAGGCTAGTTGTTTCCCCCTTTAAGTCTTTATGCTAAAGAGTAAGGAGCCAGGAGGCTAATTGCCTCCTGGCTCCAGTTTCATACTAAACACACAATGTGGTGTCATCTCATTCAACTCTTGGAAAGAAAGAAAATAAACATATTTTCCATAATATTGAACACTTTCTACAGTGCCTAGTCGAAAAAAGATTGGATATATTGTCCTTATTTAATCATAATATTCTGTGCACAAAAGATATTTAATTCTTACAAAATAGAATATACATTATATGTATTAAATACATATACATACAATACAATCTAGAAACATTTCCAAAGCTACTACTCTTATTTTGAAAGTGTACAGCAGAGTCCGGAAGTTAAACTATTTGAAGCATGGGCAGCCAACCCCTTCCCTCCCTCTCTCTCTCACACACACACACACACACAGTCACAGAAGGTCTAAGCTCCGCCTTATTTTGAAGCCCTCTAACTTCTCATCAATGATTCACTCTCTTAAAGTCGACCTTCCTCTATGACCTGAAATAAAGAAGTAAAAACTGATCTCAGATCAGCTTCAGCTGTGAGCCTGCTGCAGCTCTGCCAGCTCAAATCTGTTTTGAGTGTCCTCACTGTTTGCGCAGAGCACACTGCCTGCACCCTGACCTCCGCTTCCACTGCACACAGGTGAGCACACTGTACTTATTTCACACTGATAACCTGCATTATCTGCATTATCTGTAATGTGCCTGTTTATTACATTATATAAATCACACAGATTATTTTATGTTAGTGGATTTTTTAGTTTATTGTTCTTAAAAGTTGTCAGCTAGTAACCTTATTGTGCTGCTGTGGTATAATGCTAATATTCAATAAAACAACATTATATCTGAGACACGTATTGAGTGTACAGTGACCTCAGGTTATTAATCTCCTTATGATCACTTTCAGTCTATGTAGAGTTCACGCTGTGATGGTTTTTTAGGATTCTCCTCATATTTTGTTGCTCTGGTCTTTGAATTTGTGTCGATTAACATTTATCAGAGTTTTTTTCTTCTTTAATGAAAATTCAAAATATTTCTGATAATTAATTGTTAGTTTATTATTTGTGGTATCTATCTCAAAACTTATTGTGGTATTCTTGAAACAGTTTAAAGTATTACGGCTCTTTGGGGTGATTTGGTGATTCTGTCTGCTGCTTGTTCTGAGGAATGAACCTTTGTACAGCGAGCAGCTGGTTGCTTCAGAAGTTTTCTCTGTTTGTTGCTGGCAAAAGTGGCAGCTTTTCTTGCCTGTGGAAGATCAGTGTGGTTGAAAGTTATAGTGAAGTGAATGATCATTTTAAATACCTCTCTCTGCTCTCTTTGTACAGTATTAATAATGCTTCGCTGTGAGGTCTCAGATTCATTTTATTTATTTTTATCTTGCTGTCATTTATTCAAACTGCAAAAGAAAAACCACGAATGCTTTGCATATGTATTACATTTTATTTTCACATTGTTGACTGAATTCCCATGTTTCCTATTCGATGTGTACATCATGTGTTTTATTCATGTAGATAGTGAATGTGGAAAAACTTACGGTTACAACTTGGTGAAATTGACAATTTTAAATAATATACATTTTGCACAGCAGACTCCTTACGTCTTATGAATTAAGACGCCTTAATTCATGGAGTATTTTCTTAGGGGACAGAAAGAAGTTAACAATTTAACAATAACATGTAGATTAATTTACAAAGAGGAAATTACATTGTTGAAAGCACAGCTCAAGTAATGAAGTGTTTAGTCCAAAATATGACTCAGTCGGTTTAGTCAAACTAAAGATGCTTACATTTGTTCTCCAAATACTTATTAATCTTATAATGCTATTAGCATGAATGATAAACAGCTAATTTATGATCAAATATTTTACTATTGCAAGATATTTTTGTTGGTACAACTGGATACATTTAATGTAGATTTGCGCCTCACACACACTGTTATATAATTACAGTTAATGCAACCTGAAAGAGGAATTATCTGCAAAATAAATAATCAGATTTTGTCATTATGCCTATAAAAAACATTAACAGGCCTAGAAACTACAATGATTGGGACATTTGTTTCATTTCTGTGTGTGTGTGTGTGTGAGACCTCGGTCATCCCATATGTTTTGACATATGAGAATGACACAACAATATTTACTGTGTAAACGTGTTCACCGATACAGTCCCTGAACACACACGCACACACACACAGGCACCACACACACACACACAGCACACACACAGACACACACACACAACACACACACACCACAACCACACACAACACGTATATACACAATGTCCTTCAATTGTGTTTCTGTTGGTCCAGCATCTTGCTCCTTATAAACACGGTACAGCTCCTCTGGATCCTCAGGGCAGGTTGTCCACTGAGGTCAGCGTTAAATACAAACACACACCACACAGCGGAAGTTCTTCTGAGTCCGGGGCTCATGTGGAAGAAATCTTATCTGTGAAATGTCGATGAGAGGTTTGAAAAGGGATAAAGGTCGATGGTTTTGGAATTCTCAAAACTGTTGCATCCTGCACAGCGGCTGGCCCTCAATACATCCTCTCCTCTCGCAGGTCTGTCACACGGCTAGATGCTGGATCTCCAGTTGGGATGTGGAATGGATAATATGTGCACGAGGCACATGTACATGGTGAGTGCATTTCGAGGTCTCAGTACTCAGATAATCATCTTCTTATATAGGTTGGCCTGATGCTTCTTCTGTTATTTCAACTTGTGGGCTGGTTATAACCATGTGACAGTCGTCTGCCTAAGCCGCCCTCTGGGTTTAAAATATTATTTAGCAATGCATCCAAGGGATGTGGGTTGTCTGCGTTGGATGTTAGTTTTACGAAATGAGTTTCAGGTCATCACGTCACAGGTCTCTCACTGCAGCTTTTCCCTGGAATGCATTAAACATATCAGACACATGATCTCTAACAGGAGGAGGTTCTGTAATACACAGTATTATGCAAGTGATCAGATCCTCAAGTTATTTATTCTCAGGGCTGAATATTCTTTGCTTTTTGTGGCCAAAGCTCCTGTGTTATGTTTGCGGGAGATAGTTTTGTCTCCAAATAAAAATGTTGGAATATGTCTATTTTTTTAAATGACCGGTGGCTTTTAATGGCGGGAGTGTGGTGCCTATTTGGTTATTCTCACTCGACTTATCAGGCTTTACTGTGATGGACCACTGTCTGATGCTGATGTTGAATGTGAAAGTGGGAATAAAAGTGATTACTAAATTGGTTAGTCAGGTTATTTATGATGTATGGGTTTATTTACGCTAATGATTGGTAATTGTGGTTTTTTTTTTTTTTTTGTCTCGAGGGCAGCGGTCACATCCTCCATCTCCTTCATGATGACGTCAACTTGGGACCTTCAGGCAAACCACAGTCGAGGGTAACGTGTAGATCTCTTTGATGTTACAGACCACAGGGATTGATATGCTAAAGACAGAGTTATAGTGTATTTTCAGTGGGCACTGGCATCGTGGATAAATTCAGGTTAAAATCCTACAACACGTTTTTTTAATGGATTTATGGTGCGGTAAATTTGTATTCAGAGGCAGATTCTGATGGAGACAGACCAGTTTATAACATATTTACTGCAGGCAGAGCTTTGGGTGAGCTATTATAAATAAAGTGCTTCAGGGTTGGTTGGCATAACTTTGTGCTGCGCAAAACAGTACAATTGCATTATAGAGTCCCTCTGTCTTGTTTCAGTGCAGACCCACTGACTTTGATTTTGGCTGTCATTGGCAAAGGGCACCTTTGGAAAAGGTAAACACTGGAAACAATTACTTATTGTATCTATCTCTGTATTGTATGAATATAATCTTGTGGTTGTTTTCTTTTCATCAGTTGTCCTTATTGGTAAACTCATTCAGGGTCCACATATTCACCAGCGGGACCACTCAGTGAAAGTAGTTTAACTGGAACTGGGCGACCGTGGGTGTGCTGTTAAGAATAAAAATCTAATAGGTGAGAGGAGATACTTAATGGTGGGTCGTATAGATCTTAACAGTCAGTGTCGTGGATCCAGGCTAGCTGTGTCGCAGCTTGTAGTCAACGAGATGGAACATGGTGTTTGTCGAGAGAGAGAGAATA